TATATTTTAATTAAGAAACGAAAACACTTATTTTGAAAAATGGCTGACGATTTTTACACGTTAAAAATACGTGGAAGAGACTAAAATATCTTCACTTTTTGTCATGACGAAAAATGAAAATATTTTAGTCTCTACCACGTATATTTTAATGAAAAAAACTTATGTTAAACATTAGATAGTTGAAGACGACAGTTTGATAAACTATGCTCACTTACGTACTTTTTTAATAATGAAAAGTCTATTATGAATTCAAACTTACATTAAAATTTACTGTATATAATAATTATTTATTAATGTAACGATAGCATGGGTCTTCCTCTCTTTTTTTTGTGAAATGTATTCCATTGATATTTTCGGGAGTCTCTCATCACTCATTCTTTTCACATGTCTAAACCAAATAAGTTTCCTCTGTATTTCCCTCCTAAAACCGTTTCCTTCAATCCCATTAGATCTTTGATCCTCTCATTAGTTATTCTTTATCTATTCGAAATTCTGCACGATCTTTTCAATGCATCCATTTCAACTGTTGTTACTTTTCTCTTCTCTTCCCCGAGTAAAGTCAGCATGTAGTGAAAACGGAATTAAAGAGGAATGGTATACGGATAGAGAGAGATGGAGAGGGTTCCTGGAGGTCGGAAGGCGACGTCAGACGCCATAAACCGAATATGGATAGATAATGGTAGCATAAAGTAATATTTACTGAATATAGAATTAGCAATGTATTAGCAATTCACAGAGATGCATTACAAAATTTAAGAGATCACATATATCAATATTAAGAAAGAAAATTTTATGTAGCAAAGCAAAACTTCAAAGATTTACTTAATGAATTATATATAATTGTTTCTATTTATTAACATTAATAAAACTAGTAAATAGCAAGGATGATAATAGTAACTGAAAACAGTAATTATGTGTTACTCATTAATTCGTAACCCATCCCGTCCCTCGATTGATATCAATTTCAATGAAATAAATTATGTTAAATCTTATTGTGATGTCATGTTAAATTAATCTTACGTTAAATTAACTTTTCATGATCATATTTTTCACATTACCAAATCTCTTTCTATCAGACGGTCATCATTCTCGGGAGTTTTTGTACAAATACTTCCTCAAATTCGGTTTTAAAAGCTTTTTTTTACGAACTTTCAGTCTATCGTTGATTACTGTCTTTGTACTTTGTCTTTGTCTAATGTACTTTGTTAAATAAATATGGAGCAGTCACTGACAGACTCCTGTCTGTGACTGCTCCATATTTATTTAACAGTTGAATGGAGCAGTCATTGACAGACACCAGTCTGTCAATGACTGCTCCATATTTATTTAAGAAAGTACTGTACATTCAGAATCAAATAAGGTTTATTCATTGTTATATAAATTTTGTAACCTTCCATACACCAATGACCCAGAAGTCGCCAGAATTCGTCTTGGTTTACCTGACCTTACCGATCGTCTAAAATATTTTCATTGTGTACTTTGCTACAAATACTTTAATGGATTAATCTTTAATTACTGGCTAGATCTTTATATACCTACTGTTAGAACACGTAATACTTCTTGTTTTTTACCCCTTATTATAGTTTTACACTGTCTCATAGATAATTTTTTTTTTTTTGTATACCCATTCATATGGCTCCAATCAAGCACTTTTTGTATCGTGATTTCACCTTTTATAAGAACAAATGTAAATCTATTTTATGTAATGTGTAATTTAATTTTTACTTCCTTGTGTTGTTACCAGTTTATTTGTTATTGATTTTTGTTTATTTTTTTATTGCGGTTTTTTATTTGGGAAGTTAAAATCGATTATCCTCTGAATTTTCCACTTAATTGTAAATAAATAAATAATAACATTTAAAATTTTCGTGGATATTGTTCTTTTAATTTTCTTGTAAAATTTTAAATTCTTTCGTTTTAATATTATGCACGGGTTCATTTAAATACTTCGTATTGTTCAGGCATATATTGATTCATTTACTGACTAAAAACGCTTGAGACGAAGCAGACTTCTTGAGGGATTATGGATACTTTAGTGGAATGAAAACATCGGTACAAGAAAAAGAAATCGAAAGTCTTTATGGTCTATCTACTACGACACATTAAAGTCTGACACTGGATGTCCATATAAAATCACGACTCGAGTGCGATTGATTCTAAATCTCATCTGCCTATTCTCCAAAGTGCTTATTATTATTAACTTGCTTTCATTATTGGGATGCAATTTGAAAAAAATTGTAGACCAATAAATACCCACTTTCGTCCGTTGTCTGCCTGTTCTTCCTTAATCTCGAAAACGGAGTTATTGATAAATAGATCACCTGCACGACTTTATTGTTAAAGGAAAAACATGATGTACAGGGGCAAGACACTACTAATTTGAGATGGCAACCATTTATTTTAAATTAAGTAAATTTAAAATATGATTAAAATTTGCAACTTGGCATTGTGACGACGTCTCAATAAAATAATTGCTGGTTTAAATGATATTTTCTTGTCTTATTCTCGATAATGTTGTAATAAGTTTTTTGATATATGCTTATAGAGTATGTACAGTAGGCCTACTACTTACAGTTGTTTGAAATTAATATAATTTATAAAAAATTGAAATAAAGTACAAAAATTATGGAGAGAGTCACAAAACAATGCGAAACAATTGCGCAGGCAAAATTTAAACAATTACATAATATAAATTATGTATATTATTTGCCACTGTTAATAGAAACTTAATTTTATAGTTATAATTTACTATAATTATTTACTTGAGTGATTAGTAAAGTAATTAATACTATGTCATATTTATTGATTAATGTTAAAAAGTTATATTAATTCGTGGAAATAATAAGGCACTTTTGGGTCAAAGTCCGAAAGTCAAACAATACAGTTGCAAGTTAGAAAGGGAGTTCCATTACCAAAGAGCAAAAAAGAAAAAGTTATTAGAAAAGAAAAATTTTACTCTTACAATGAATATGTTATAATGCATAAAACATTACAGTAGAGTCGTCTTCTACTGAAGAGAATTATGCGAGGACTCATGTTTTCGTGTATGGCGAATGGTTATGTTGACCCATTCCTAATACTACTGAATCTGACTTTTAAGTTAGCAAACGTAATTGTCCATCTCCTACTGAATGTTACTCAGTGCGGTGAATATCTTAGTTTTCATGTATTTTATCAAATACTCGAAACAGCATAATAAAATTTTGCTCTGTTCAAAAACATCGTAGCCATTATAAGCGCATTTTAACGTTTTTTTGGTTAATTGTAAATAGTCACATAAGTGTATATCATATAGGCAATCATCTGGGTCAACTGGGTTAGAATACCATACATATTTTTGCGGAATTTGGTTTTATGTAGTACCTGCTGATATGCAACCCATGCATAAAACAAGCTGATGTTTGTTGTGCTTATTTTTAAAACTGGCAGAACGGATCATCGTATAATAGCTCGAAATTTTTGTTTGTCGGTTGAATATTTTTGGAAATCCAAATTTGGCGTACGAAAAGCGATTTAGGAAAATTAAATTATTATATAAAGTATTATTTAAAAAATTAGTTGATCAAAAGTATTGATAGAATGTTTGAAAGACCAAGACTGCCTTTGTAGGTCTGTAATTAATTTTAATTTATACATGTGTAAGATATGTATAAATGCTTAACAAGCTAATGTTTCAAGACAGAAAAATTTTCTGCTTCAGAACATTCCGGTTTAGAAAAATAAAATTAATTATTGGTATTAAATAAGATTAATAAAAAGTGAAACAAAAAATTAAACAACAACATGAGATTAAAGTAGCAATTACTTTATGCAACATTATTTCATTTCACGGTCGAAGGAATTGAATTGGATTGGATTGATGAAATAAGACAACGCAACACTTGGGCAATCTGTCAAAAGGATGCTTTTCCGAAAGACTTTCTAATGGGAAACTGTCTTCTATTCTGGTGATAGACATGAAGAAATTCGGAAAACACGTACGTTGCTAGCCCGTTAGATTTTTTTTTACTCTTTTCCCCCTGTGGGCACTAAGAGGGCCTTTTTTAGCAAGCCCATTATGGGTTGTGAGGGACCGTAGCCGATATATCCGGTCGGATCACCCCCGAAAAATTCCAGAGGATTTTTCAACCCATCCGGGTCCTCCAGAGCGGTAGACTACCGCCTTAGCCACTCGGCCGTCCCGTTAAATAAGCTTAAACCAACTACCAGTTTTCATGCTTACCTTTCTAGGGAACTGTGGGCATAATCTGGACAATCGAAAAACTCCAATAATTTTTTTGTGGATTGTCCCATCCCTTACTACTCGCCCTTCAGAATTGTGTGTCTGCGAACTTATATATTGTTTCATTTACAAATAAAATTAAGCACCGTAAAAAAGTAATTTATTCCCTCAATTTTAAAATTTTTATGCGAATAAATCTCACAGTCAAATTACATTTCCAAAACAAAAACAAAAAGCGTTTACTCGTCGTAGAAATTATTGATTAGAGTTCCTCAGAAAAAAATGATATATGGCAAAATGCCAAATAACTGATTTTTATTCATCAATAAATACTGAAAATTCTCTAAAATTTATTTTAATAAATAAATTAAATTATTGTTAAACTTGCTTTTAATGTTTCTAAATAAATGCTGATATTATTTATTATTATTATAATTAATTCCATCCATTATTCATTGATAAAATTTTTGAAAAGAGCAAAAATAATAAATAACAAACAAGAAAATGATATAAATTTCTTCTTAAATTATTTTTTTAAGAAACAATTTTTATAAATTTATATTTTAGAAAATTATAAATGCAAGGATTGTATTTATAAATGTATCTATTAATCATCCAAGAGTTACACTAAATCAATATTTTTTAAATCATTAATAATAAATTTTTAAATGTATTTTATAGTTAAAACACTATTAAATACTCGAGAAAACATTTAAATATATATATATCGACAGTATCTATTAACGCAAGCGCACTTCGTATTTAATCTAAAGCTGCAGACTGGCGATAGTCTGCAGGCTCAATGCTTAAAAATGTGTTCGTTTTGTGATGTTTTTTGCAAAGAATCATAGCACAATCATCGCTAAATTGGTAAATTAATGGTAAATGAAACTTGTTTTTACATAATTAACTATAATTATTTTTAAAAATATATTGTTATTGATAATACTTCTTAAGTATAGACTTTAATCAATGAATGAAAACGTGTCACATTTGATTTTTGACAGGAGATAGTTTTCATCACTATGTATATATTTTAATATAATATAATTATAATAAAATATTACTTTATTATCTATATATTTTAAATTATAAATAAATATTTAACTATTAAAAAATTTAACGTTAATAATTGTTCAAGAGTAGTGAGTGTATTTTAGAGAAATATCATTGTGTCTTGCTGAAAATCGATATTGTATTTTACACTTATTGAACGTTTCTATGTCTTTTTTTTAACCTTAAATACTTTGTTTAATATAAAAAGTAATAATTATTTTATCGATTAGATTATACGAAACTAATTTTTACTCTAGAATGACAGTTATTTATAGGAATCAAGAATTTCTCTTCCATTGTATCGATTTTCTTCTATTCAGGTCATACTCCCAAGCTAATGCGGACAGACAGATCCACTATTATTACTCGATTTTTCATTTATTCATCCTTATAGGTTATATAAAACCTATAACAAGAGATAAACAAAGAATATAAACGTTACACAATACATAATTATTGTTCAATTTTATCCTACTTTAATAAATAAGTAAATTCACAAATTTAGCATTATTTTCTTCTAATTCTGTTAACTCTAAGCTCTCAAAATGTGTTTTATTTTAATTTTATTTAAAAAGTATTTCACTTTTCCACTAAATATAAAAAAATTTAACATTTGTATTTATTTATTGCCACTGTTAATAGAAACTTAATTTTATAATTATAATTTACTATAATTATTTACTTCAGTGATTAGTGAAGTAATTAATACTATGTGATATTTATTGATTAATGTTAAAAAGTTATATTAATTCGTGGAAATAATAAGGCACTTTTGGGTCAAAGTCCGAAAGTCAAACAATACAGTTGCAAGTTAGAAAGGGAGTTCCATTACCAAAGAGCAAAAAAGAAAAAGTTATTAGAAAAGAAAAATTTTACTCTTACAATGAATATGTTATAATGCATAAAACATTACAGTAGAGTCGTCTTCTACTGAAGAGAATTATGCGAGGACTCATGTTTTCGTGTATGGCGAATGGTTATGTTGACCCATTCCTAATACTACTGAATCTGACTTTTAAGTTAGCAAACGTAATTGTCCATCTCCTACTGAATGTTACTCAGTGCGGTGAATATCTTAGTTTTCATGTATTTTATCAAATACTCGAAACAGCATAATAAAATTTTGCTCTGTTCAAAAACATCGTAGCCATTATAAGCGCATTTTAACGTTTTTTTGGTTAATTGTAAATAGTCACATAAGTGTATATCATATAGGCAATCATCTGGGTCAACTGGGTTAGAATACCATACATATTTTTGCGGAATTTGGTTTTATGTAGTACCTGCTGATATGCAACCCATGCATAAAACAAGCTGATGTTTGTTGTGCTTATTTTTAAAACTGGCAGAACGGATCATCGTATAATAGCTCGAAATTTTTGTTTGTCGGTTGAATATTTTTGGAAATCCAAATTTGGCGTATGAAAAGCGATTTAGGAAAATTAAATTATTATATAAAGTATTATTAAAAAAATTAGTTGATCAAAAGTATTGATAGAATGTTTGAAAGACCAAGACTGCCTTTGTAGGTCTGTAATTAATTTTAATTTATACATGTGTAAGATATGTATAAATGCTTAACAAGCTAATGTTTCAAGACAGAAAAATTTTCTGCTTCAGAACATTCCGGTTTAGAAAAATAAAATTAATTATTGGTATTAAATAAGATTAATAAAAAGTGAAACAAAAAATTAAACAACAACATGAGATTAAAGTAGCAATTACTTTATGCAACATTATTTCATTTCACGGTCGAAGGAATTGAATTGGATTGGATTGATGAAATAAGACAACGCAACACTTGGGCAATCTGTCAAAAGGATGCTTTTCCGAAAGACTTTCTAATGGGAAACTGTCTTCTATTCTGGTGATAGACATGAAGAAATTCGGAAAACACGTACGTTGCTAGCCCGTTAGATTTTTTTTTACTCTTTTCCCCCTGTGGGCACTAAGAGGGCCTTTTTTAGCAAGCCCATTATGGGTTGTGAGGGACCGTAGCCGATATATCCGGTCGGATCACCCCCGAAAAATTCCAGAGGATTTTTCAACCCATCCGGGTCCTCCAGAGCGGTAGACTACCGCCTTAGCCACTCGGCCGTCCCGTTAAATAAGCTTAAACCAACTACCAGTTTTCATGCTTACCTTTCTAGGGAACTGTGGGCATAATCTGGACAATCGAAAAACTCCAATAATTTTTTTGTGGATTGTCCCATCCCTTACTACTCGCCCTTCAGAATTGTGTGTCTGCGAACTTATATATTGTTTCATTTACAAATAAAATTAAGCACCGTAAAAAAGTAATTTATTCCCTCAATTTTAAAATTTTTATGCGAATAAATCTCACAGTCAAATTACATTTCCAAAACAAAAACAAAAAGCGTTTACTCGTCGTAGAAATTATTGATTAGAGTTCCTCAGAAAAAAATGATATATGGCAAAATGCCAAATAACTGATTTTTATTCATCAATAAATACTGAAAATTCTCTAAAATTTATTGTGACTGCTCCATATTTATTTAACAGTTGAATGGAGCAGTCATTGACAGACTCCTGTCTGTCAATGACTGCTCCATATTTATTTAAGAAAGTACTGTACATTCAGAATCAAATAAGGTTTATTCATTGTTATATAAATTTTGTAACCTTCCATACACCAATGACCCAGAAGTCGCCAGAATTCGTCTTGGTTTACCTGACCTTACCGATCGTCTAAAATATTTTCATTGTGTACTTTGCTACAAATACTTTAATGGATTAATCTTTAATTACTGGCTAGATCTTTATATACCTACTGTTAGAACACGTAATACTTCTTGTTTTTTACCCCTTATTATAGTTTTACACTGTCTCATAGATAATTTGTGTTTTTTTTTGTATACCCATTTATATGGCTCCAATCAAGCACTTTTTGTATCGTGATTTCACCTTTTATAAGAACAAATGTAAATCTATTTTATGTAATGTGTAATTTAATTTTTACTTCCTTGTGTTGTTACCAGTTTATTTGTTATTGATTTTTGTTTATTTTTTTATTGGGGTTTTTTATTTGGGAAGTTAAAATCGATTATCCTCTGAATTTTCCACTTAATTGTAAATAAATAAATAATAACATTTAAAATTTTCGTGGATATTGTTCTTTTAATTTTCTTGTAAAATTTTAAATTCTTTCGTTTTAATATTATGCAAGGGTTCATTTAAATACTTCGTATTGTTCAGGCATATATTGATTCATTTACTGACTAAAAACGCTTGAGACGAAGCAGACTTCTTGAGGGATTATGGATACTTTAGTGGAATGAAAACATCGGTACAAGAAAAAAAAATCGAAAGTCTTTATGGTCTATCTACTACGACACATTAAAGTCTGACACTGTCAATACTCCAGGAACATAANACTCTAGAATGACAGTTATTTATAGGAATCAAGAATTTCTCTTCCATTGTATCGATTTTCTTCTATTCTGGTCATACTCCCAAGCTAATGCGGACAGACAGATCCACTATTATTACTCGATTTTTCATTTATTCATCCTTATAGGTTATATAAAACCTATAACAAGAGATAAACAAAGAATATAAACGTTACACAATACATAATTATTGTTCAATTTTATCCTACTTTAATAAATAAGTAAATTCACAAATTTAGCATTATTTTCTTCTAATTCTGTTAACTGTAAGCTCTCAAAATGTGTTTTATTTTAATTTTATTTAAAAAGTATTTCACTTTTCCACTAAATATAAAAAAATTTAACATTTGTATTTATTTATTTTTTAATTATTTCATAAATTATGTACAGTTTATTAAAATTTAGGTCATTATAAATTGAATTTTATAATTATGAAATATAAACAAAAATTATTCATTTATCATTAAAACTGTTTTTTTTAACAAATTATTAATTTATAAACATTAATTTATAGAACTATTAACTAATATTATTTCAGTTTTATAGTTATAGTATAAATATTTCTAGATTTTGTATTTTAGACATAAATTATTCACATGCTAATCTATAAATTATTCGCATGCTAATAAATATTGGTTTATTTTAAACTTGTCAAATGACCATTTAGAATTAAATTAGCTGAAAGACACCAGAAGTGATGAAAATGTTACAAAAAATGCCTGTAAATAAAAATACGCTTTGCTTAATAAAGAGATGAAATGACTACAAAGGAGGCAGCGTTGATATAAATTAAGAAAACATGCGCGAATGTCTAGAATATAAATGAAATTCTTTCGAAATTTTCATTTCTAAGCGTAATACAGTACTGTATTTACTATGAATAGACCAAAAATCAACGTAACTTTGCAAAAAGTTTTAATGAAAAGAAGTGATTAAATAATGAAAGCAAATGAAATAACCAATTTATATTTGTTGTAAAACGTTATATTTAATCAGCATTATAAATTGTTGTACACATTTATGACCTTGATATGTTTCTTCCACCGTTCCTTATTGTCATGCAGAATCTAGGTTCGAAGCAGAGCCGGCTTCGTGTGCATTCACAGAACTACTTCTTAGATCAACCCGTGCTTAATTAACGCTTCGTTCTCTGCGTCTTTAAATTCAAAATAACGACATTTATATTTTCATTTAATTCAGTAAACTATGAAGCCAGAAGTGGTTTGAATCCGACAAGAAAAATCATCAATTACTATGTGTATGGATCTTCAGAATTTTGTAATAAAAACCAGTATATCCGGACTATGAAGGTTCCTTGTATTAACAATACCAATTAATCAATTAATTTTTCAATCTTGATAATTATTTATAAAACTATGAACAATTATGAACAATTAGAGGATTGAAGAACTTATGTTAGTAATAATCCTTATTGACTATAAAATTTATTAAGAATAATGATAAATAAATAAATATAACATTTACTATTTGCGTTTTCCCTCTTTCTACCCTACGGGCACTGAGAGCAGGGCCATCGAGAGTTTACATGAGATCTGGGGATAGAGCGGACTCCTTTATCCTCTTAGCTGGACCTTTTATCCATTGTTATTTTGAAGAAATGAAACATGTGAAATGTTTATTTATTAATGAGTAGTTTTAATGATTGTATTTTCTGTTAGTATAAACAACATTATTTTTATAGGGATAGAAATCAGTAAGGACCTATAAGTTCTCTCTGATCTCTGGGGAAAATCCGCAGCTCCCCCCTCTCGACAACCCTGTCCATGAACAGTACGTAAGGTAAGATTATTAGTATTATTATTTTGCTCCACTTATATAACACGAGAAAAGTTACTTCTAACTTATATAAATTTTCATTATAAATTCTTAAATATGATATCGCTTCACTCTTCATGTAGCTTCAGTCTCATGTTATTTATTCTATCATCTTCAGGTACTTTCAAGATTTCAATATGTTTTTGTAATTTCCTTTTTATTTGATTATTTTCTGTCAATACAAATTTAATACTATTTTTTATAGTTTCACAATCTTCCTTGTTATAATGTTCCACTTTTTCCTTTTCTTCCCCTAAAGCTTTATTTTGGAATGGTTAGAAACTAGTAAAATAAAAAAAATGTAATACGAAGTAAATAAATGAAGTTAAAATATATTATCTTAAAATGGAACACGTATTCGGTGTTTTTGAAAAATTTTTTTAAAAAATTAAAAATTCAGTTATTATTTTTGTACTAAATTTTAGCCTACAAGAACTACTGTATAAGGAAAATGATTTATATAAAATATAAAAATAATGAACATAATAATTTAAAGAAAGATAATATAGTTTATTCATTTGCTTGCAGCTGTTTACATAAAAAAAAGTTATATTGGTGAAACCGGAAGAAAATTAAATATAAGATTTAAAGAACATATTTATGCAGTTAAAAATAACTTAATCTCTTCATCAGTAGCACAACATTGTAACAAGGAAGATTGTGAAATTATAAAAAATAGTATTAAATTGGTATAGACAGAAAATGATAAAATGAAAAGAAAATTGCAAAAACATATTAAAATCTTGAAAGTACATGAAGAGGATAGAATAAATAACATGAGACTAAGGCTAAATGAGTGGTGGAGCATTATCATATTTAAGAATTTGAGATCCAGGCAAAACTGATGTTGAGTGACATCGTATTGCGAGTGACAAGAAAAATATAACAATAAACAGTATTTTTAAGTGTTTTAAATATAGGGGAGACCGGGGCAACTTCGGCATGCGGGGCAAGTTTGTCAAGCGCTTTTTTTTAAAAACAAATTAAAAGGAGACTTTGGTTATAGGTTAGGCAATTGAGTTTTATTGGTGGCTTGTTGAGTGTAGTGTTTTTATTGTTCTCCAACAAGCGTAGTTGAATTATATGGAATTGAACGAAATTTTCATTTTCGTTCAATTCCATATAATATTTTTTTTCCATTTATATTGAATTGGCAGGTTTTGTTATAATTCCATGATAACGAAAGTTACTTTTCCTGTTAGAAGGATGTAACTTCAACTTATTCACGTGGCCAGATCGTGGCTTGGCATTCTGTTCTCAGGGTTGTACTTAATGTTTCGAAATCATGAATAGCGGGGTAAGATCGGCAACATAAAGCCACATTAGAAGCAAAGGATAAAAATCAAACAGATGATAAATGAAAACATGTTTGCATTTGTTATTCATGTATATATGTCTTTGAACTTGCATTTCGTTGTAATAATATTAAATGGGTGTTGGATTTGTATTTCTTTGTTTTAATAGTGAATTCCAACTTATACATTGTTAATAACATAATTTTATATACGTGCCTATCTTGCTCCATTACTGTTGCCCCTATACCAGGGGCAACTTTAATAAAAATAATTAAAATAATTACAACTTTACAAAAAGAGAGAAGTTGCCGATCTTGCCCCAATACCCGGGGCAACTTCGTCAATTTCTCTCTTCTTGTAAAGTTGTAATTATTTTAATTATTTTTATTTCCAAACTGATTTTAACCAGTTCTATAGTAAGGTAACATTCCAATAGACAATATGCAAAGCTTTTTTTTCAGTTTACAGCAGTATTTATTACACAAAATTTAAAGCTTAACATGCCGATCTTGCCCCGGTCTCCCCTATATTAAGCGAGGTATTTGTGTAATTTGGTGTTGATGGTTTTATTCTTTTAATAGCAGTGATTTCTGAAATGAATTGAGTGGTGCCTATCCTGATGTAAAGATAATTAAGTAAAAACTAATTTGTAATAAATGGTGCTATTAATTTGAATTTGGAAAGAGGAAAATCTAAAATTTATCAGTTCCAAATAGAATAAAATTCATTATTGAAAACCATTTTATTATTTGGTGCTTATTTAATTTTTTGGTATATTGTAGTTTATTGGTTTTATATTATGTAAACAGTGCACTGTATTTATATATAAAATTTCTTAGTTTGAAAATAATACTTGTGTTATTATGGTCGTGATAAATTTTTGTATTTCGTACTGTATGGATGTTTGTAGGCTGATGAGGAATTTGTGTACCCGAAAGGCATTCTAAAACTTGATTGTGGATAATTAAAGACTATTTTGTAAAAAATTTAGTCAAATTTTGTTCCAGTCGTTCCCTGATGTGATAAGCCCTTCAACTTATTACAGACGTATTTATTGGGATAATCAATTTATACTAAGGAGAAAATATTTGTGAGGAATGATGGAGGAGCAAGCATTTTATATAACAAATATTAGACATAATAGTTTATTTAGTTCTTATTTAAAGTTTGCAAGTATTTTAAACTTATATTTCTAATATAAACATAGAGAAAAATGCTGTAGCATAGAGAAAAACACAATAAGCATAGACGAACCATTTTTGTAAAATTTGTCACGTTACGAGAGAAAGAAAACAGTAACAATGATGACGAAGTGTGAAAATATCAAAGTAAACATCAGAGTGAAAAAATTATTTATGAATTTAAAATTATATAATTTAACGAATTGAATTTCAGAATATATACGATTTAATTCTGTTAAGACATTTTGCTGTATATTTTAAATATTTATGAAATAAATTAGAAAATTCAACATTACACAGTAAATTTATAATTTTAAATAGTTGCGTGTCTTCAATGATTAAGCTTTCAATAAACTATTGATATTTTATAACAACTGATTATCATTTTGGTCATCGATTTCATGTAATCCATTTTCTAAACTTTAAATGTAATTTTGTCTTATAATTTCTATAACGAACTTAATAGATGAATAAATTTAATTTAATAATTATTATCAAAATCTTTTTCTTTAGATATTAAACTAAGCAAAAATAAATATTGACAAATATATAGTCAAATCTCGGACCCATCGCTACTCAAACAGTGGTCCGCGAACACTTTATTACTGGGCCGTGAAGAGATTTTACTTAAAATTTCATAATTTTATATATTAAATTAATAAAACGATTTTAAAAAGTTTTTCAAAATTTTTAAAAAACTTTTTATTTCGTTTTTCTTTGTTATTAATTCGTTCTAAAACTTAAAATAGAAAAAAAGCATTTGAACTCCGTTTTCTCTCTTTAATGTTTTATTTAATTTTACAAAAACACTGGTCCACGAAAGATTGGAATGAAAGAAAACCGGTCCTTGAACACAAAGTTCAATAAACACTGCTCTAAACAACGGCCACTGACGCAAACAAAAAATAAACCAGCAACGAGTTGCTCAACTTTCCCGGCAACATTAAAAATTTTGGTGGCGCCATCTGTTATCATATTTTATTTTAAAATCTTTTTATATTTTTTACTATTATAAAATGGCATAAAGCTTAATTTTCGGGGTAGGAATGAATTTTATAAAAAAGCTAAATGCTAATAACGAGTAAAATCGTCATTAAATCCGACCCTACCGGAAATATGACACGACCCCCTTTAACTTCCCAACCCGTCGATCTTTAACCATCAAAATTTAATACCATCAATCCCTCTTATACATAAACCTCCTTGCAAAATTTCAGAAATTTTCGACAAAAAGCACAGGAGTTTTGAGCTTCACCCAAGGTGAACAAAATCATGCCACATACACAAACCTAAACATACATATCTACACACACACACTATAACGTCTTTAATAAAGAATATTTTTGCATTTTTTAACGTTTATAGATCTCCCGATTCCAAAAATGTAAAAATCTTGAAGTATAATTTTTTGACCGATTGCCTACTTTCTTTCTGTTATATATAACAACCGCGAAAATTAATACAAAATAATCTCCAAACCATTGTTTGGAAATTATTTTGTATTAATTTCAGAAAGAAATGCTCCTGAAACAATTAACGCCGCTTGGCTGTGTCTGCTGTTAGAGATTTAACTGTATTTAAAATCATAAACTCTAAAAAATTTAAATAGATTTTATTTTTAAGCTTATATTCAACTATTACTTAATTCAATGCAAATCGGTTATATATTACTTAAAATATACTTAATACATAAGATAATACTACTAAATATATATTATTATTTTTTATTATTATAAATTACGTATAATCTTAACAACGCGTGTCTTTCCCTCAGTTTATTCACCAAATCTTCGTTACACTTCTTTGATACTTTGAAGATTTAGTAGATAAAAACATTCGTTATAAAAGTACTTGATTGAAAATTAGGAAGAAATTTATAATATTAATATAAAACGCGATTTTGTGTTATTAAATAAATATTATTTAAGACATAACATACATTTATAACCATATGAATGCATATTGTACTTACTTTACATACGAAACTGAGTGATCAAAGAAAATGTGAACTACACACGACTTAGAGGAAAACGAAAAAGTGATATACTTTACTATTCTTGTATAAAAATTGTTTTTGACCTGAATGTTAATAACCTAAGGCAAAGTCTAGTATTTATGTACGTATTTCTCCGTTATCACGACAAGCAAATCAGTTTTCCTTCTATAGGCCTATATTGAGAGTTAAATTTTAATCGATACGCTATAATAAAATAATCTTATAATCTAAAAGGAAATGAAAGTAAAAACTTATATAGTACTATAAATTTTTTAACTTTATACTAAAAGAAATGTTTATTTCCTGTCAATCTATCGCTCGTATAAACCAGGCGTAAACAACTTTCCTATAGTAAATTTTCAAATGACAATATTTTAATATGAGATCGGGCTAAACAGTGCTTTATGTAAATTCTAGATAAATGAAATTCTACATTTGTAAAGGATACGTGAATACTACCGATAACTAATCTTTAATATTTCTTATAGCGTG